CCACTAACACATGACCCTACGCTGTGTCACTGCATCATTCCATGTTTGGCACCGATCACCACCTGCACTCATGTATATATCATGTATACATCTATCTACTTAGCACTTTTAATTCTTATTCTTATTTTTATTTATTTATTTATTTTTCATGTCTATTTAAGCGTAATTTATAACAGTATGTTTGCACTGAAGCACCGCAGCAATTTCCTAATGTTGTAAACCTGCTCAACATTTGGCAATAAAACCCTTTCTGATTCTGATTCTCATGCTACCAGGTGACCCCAGTCAAATGCAAACAAATGCAGAAGTAGTGAAAAAACAGTCGGAAAAGATGAGGAGGGAAAAATGTCTGTGTCCTCCAGTTGTAAAACCATTCCTGTTTTGGGGGTTGTCTCATTGTTGCCCCTGTAACGCACCTGTGTGCTCTTTTGTTCCCATTTCACGGTCACCTTTGTGATTTTACACTTCTGTGTGTTTGTGACTTGTGTTTACCTGCTGACTGGTCCTGACAGTGGTAATGACCTTCAGCCAGGAAGGAAATCTCTGGATGGTTCGGGATAGAAAGGAGGTCAGCGTGTCGCCGTAGTCCGGCCGGTGGAACTCTGCCTCGTTTAGCCCATCAATCAGTACAATAAGGCCCGCCCCTTCTACATGCAGTTTATTTTCTGGAAAACAAACAAAACAAACTCACATTGCATCACTGCACATCATTTAATGTGCCACAGCAGAATGTAGTAGAAGCTGTACCTCTGTAGAGAGCATCGAGCGGTTCTAGTATTCCTTTCTGAAGGGCAGAGATCGGATCCTGGATACAGGAGCGCAGACTGAGCATGCTCTGGAGCTGTGGCGCCCGGTGCAGTAGTTCACGATAGGCGGCCAGCTGAGGTGCGCTACTTAATGTAGCCGCCATGTTGTGGACAAACTCCGGAACGAGACAGGTGTGGCAGTTATCGGCCTGACAGAAATGATATGAGACTACCTACAAAACAGAGGCAGAAGAAAGTCGGTGAATCATCTGTAGCTTTTCAGTAAAACTTTGCTGAGGTGGATTCACACGCTGGCCTTTTAGCTTCATTCATTACACTGGTTGGTATTACAGCAGTCTAATTCATGTGGGTCTTTTATGGTCATTTCCACTGCTGTACACAAGCAGCCTACAGAAAATTATGAGAAGCACAATGGGTCATCTTTGATTAAAAAGTAGAAAGAGGAATGAAGTAGGGACACTACCTGTCCCGCGAGCCTCCTCAGCGCCTCCTCCTGTCTCCTCCTCATTTCTGGTGTGCCTGGACAGCTTTCTCCTGACCCCCCTTCATCTCCTCCTCCACCTCTTCCCAGGGAGTCGTGGGAAAAAGTCTCCACATCTGGGAAATTCAAACATACAAACGTGTCATTCTTTCTGAGCAGCTGTTGCCTTCATTAACTGCATGATTTTACACTGTTTTTCTGATGCCTGGCTCAGCTATGGGTCTGGCTACTGGCCCTGTGGATTTTATTGGGTTACATATGATGACTCTGTTACTCTGAGTGAATTTAAGTACATAAACATTTTTGTCTAAACTGGTCAAAGACACTCAGAGCCTCGTCTTGGCTGTGTGCTTTGGCTCTTTATCTTGCTGAACCTCTTTTCCAGTGTCAGTGGTGAGAGGCTACACAAGAAATGAACTTTCTGATATGCAAACGCAACCAGAAGACAGTTTAACTCTTGCATACGTTTTTTCTAGGGTTCTGCTAATATCCACATAATGTCTCTTGTACGACACAGTTTACAGAGCTGTGAAACAGGAGGGATCTTTTCCTCTTACGTTTGTTTATGGTCTGGCTGCTAGAAGCATTTGGCCACATACGGTTTCCATGACAACTAAGTGCCACCAAGCGAGCAATGATGGCCGTTTTGCCAAATCCCATGTTGCCGATGATAACCGCGCCCCGGCTGGTTGCTGGATCATCACTGCGGAGGCAGGTGTCCATTTCTTGGAAGAGCCACTCCCTGCCGGTGAAGAGCCAATCAGATGAGAGACCAGGAACCTCAAAGTGAAGCGGCTTCAGGTTCAGAGAGGGAGTGAAACGAACTGCTGGAAGAGAGGGAAGAGAGGAGCGCGTGTAATGCTGCCATTTATTATAACTGCATCTCAGGATGTTTGGCACCATGTGTGCATTTACCTCTGTGGTCCTGTTGACTACGAATCCCAGAATTCTGTCTAGGCATTCTGAGGGATGTCCTTGAAGGGATGTGTCTCTGCTGCTCATCAAGATAAGCCAGGTCTTCAAGGTGGGCCGAACTAGTGGCTAAAGAGAAATATAAAAAAAAATAATGCTGTAATAAGACTGCTGCAAAATAACTGACATAATGTGCTTTATACAGATGCTAAGTTGGTCATAGAAAACTAAATTAGAGCCGTTTGTAGATATATTTTTTTCCACTGAAGAAGCTCCAAAGTTTAACTTAGCTATGGTGAATGTGTCCTTACTACTTGGTACAAACAGGTCTGGCACTTTGGTAAACCGATGCATTCACGTTCTTGCCAAAGGTTAGATGAGAATATTCTTATAATTCTTGTTTCTGTTAAAGGAGGACACAGCTAGGAGAAATTAGTCAGTATAAAAGATGGATGTAGCCAACATGATGTCACCATCTGCTTTGTGAAGTCTTTTTACGTAGCCTAGAGCTATATATATGTAGAGTCACCTTCATCAGCGAGACTCTTGTTTTACATTCTATGGACTCATATAGCTCCTAGACTTTAAATCTCTTTTAAAACTGTTCTTATTGTTCATTTACCATTAACATACCTCCACAAATATGCTCCACAACAGTGAGAAATATTTAAACACTCTCAGTAACAAATATGTTACAAATCGCTGTGTGAACAATTTAACAAGTTAATCTTAACATAACACCAACCAAGCAAAAGTACTCATGTGTCTTCTAGCTTGTATGAAGACAAACGTGTTTATAGCTTTAGAACAGATTTCCGTATCTGTTGTTAGCAAAGCAAACAGGCAGGATTAGTAGGATTTCAGCATCTTGACAGTTCCTAAAAAGTTGATATAAAACCTAACAAAGGACTAATACAAGTTAAAAACTTTAACTTTCCCTGGCTGCAAACACAAAGCTGTGAGAAACCTACCAGAACTTTTGTCTTAATGACTCCAGTAACAATCCTGTTGCACTGCAGAGAATACGAGTGCAGGCTGTGCCTTGTATCCTGTGTGTCACTTCCTTCCTTCCCCAAAGTGCTCATGACTTTTAGCTTTTATTGAAATAGGAGAAGGAGAAGAGGAAAAGGAGAATGGGCTCTGAACACGTTACCCAGGCACCATCTCCATTTTTCAGCTTTTATCAGCAGTTTATAAACTACCAATGACGAGCTTGTTAACACACCTGCCTGTGTACACATGAAATAAACCAGAAACTTTAAAGAAACCAGACAGTCTTAATAGGTGCTCTTTTTAAGGTGATAAGGATTCTGTATTAACATCTGCCCGTGCCTCAGTTATGTCTCTGGTGAAGTATGGCCTGGATCCAGGACTGTGATTTTCTATGTGTGCTTCTGAAACACTGTCTTTAACTCTCTGTGTCTAACTGTAGCCCTAACCTGTATGTTTATTATATATTTATATATATATATTTATTATTATATTTATGTTTTTACATAAAGGTGAGGGTTTTTTTAAAGACAGATTATAAACTAGAGAACAAGCTGTGTTTTAATTCCTCACTACTGCGTGCACGTGATCCAATCACAGTGCAAAGTATCCTGGCAGGTTTTTACAATAACAGCAACATTAAAGAACAAATTTCATGTTTTATTCAGTTTGATGCAAAATGAATGAACGTGCCCATAAAGTCCTCCGTGTCACTTATTAATAATATAGGAATCTTTTTCTAACTGTCGCCCCCATAATTCACTGCAATTGTTTGTATATTTGTATACAAATTTGAATACAAGTGCGTTGCGTATGCACTGGGACACACTCTGAATTCACTTTTGCAGAGCAGAGGGGTGCACTATGAAGCCAGATTATGGGCTTAGTGAGCTGTGCTGAGTTTAAACTGAGTTCCCTGTCCTGCCGCTGGCTCTCTTTTTACCAGGTTTTCTTTTACGATTTGGTCTAAAATGAAATTATCTGTAAGCAATCTGCAAAATTATAGATTCTTTTATATGTGGAGCTTGTTAAGCTGGACTTTTATGGTTGGTTGGTGTCAGCCAGTTAGTTGTGACTTTTCTAGACCACACTGACTATAAATATCTGGTAAAATGCAACAGAACCTCACACTGTGCTGAAAGGCAAAAAAGGCCACATCGCATTCATCTGCCATCTTACCAGCAACCGAATTAGGGCGAGGCATGAAGTAGAGGGGGATGGAATGGGTGGAACCTGATGACTGGGTGAGGCCAGTGCCTCGATCTGGGTGGAGTTTGTTTAGGCTGTAAGTGGAGGCAGCCATGCTGTCGTCCACCCTATATAGAAAACCCTCATTTCTGCTTCCTGACGCTACCACACTGGTAGACGAAGTGGACGCCACCACTGGTCGACCCCCCTGCTGCCACAGGTTGAGACTGCTGCCATGGTAACATTCTCCTGCATACTTAGCGCCGTCATCCCTCTCTGCAGCTGAGTCAGCAGAATAGCTAGTCAGCGTGGCTGAAAATTAGAGAGAAGGGGAAACAGGGGGCATTAGCAACAAGAGCTGGTTGTTTAATGGCCCATTTGAAGACAACTGCCCCTTACCTATGATCCCACTGTCTCTGCTCTCCAGTGTTGAGGTGGGGGAGGTGACGGAGGCGTGGTTCGGGGAGGCGTGCTTGTTGTTACTACTGCCTTCAGCACCAGTGGGAGGGTGCAGTGTGGAACTGGGCGAGGTGTTGCTACTAGCCAGACTGGAAGAAGGAGACATCCTCTGTGGGAAAGGCAACAGAAAAATAGAAATATTCTTCTATTATTGTGCATTATAGGTATTAATGTTATATCGTACAGTTCTCATTCTTATAGTTATCATGTGTCTGTATAAGTTAGCATTTTTTGGCAAAACATCTTTAAATATTCAAATAGAAACACAGTGGATGGATGAAATAGATTTGTCAGTGGAACGAGACTTTCCACGACCTCGATAAAACATCGTATGGCAGATTCACAGTTAAATCTCTGAACCTAAGAGCATTCGATGATTTAGGTGGAACAAAAGCGTGTGTGTTACTTACCTGCCCATCCTGAGCATGGTAAGGGGAGCCTGGCTCTCCACTGATGACCTTTTCTCCAAGTAGAAAACCAAGCCTCGTCATCAGGGCATCAGCTGCCTCATCTACTGAGGGGGGTGGTCCTAACTCCTCATCTTCACCTAACGAGTGAAGAAAAGGGAAATTAAAAAAAATACTATGCTGATGATGTCATCTGACTGTTGACTGTGACATGTGAAACAATGGAGACCGTATACCTTCATGTATTATAATCACATTAGTGAAAAATGTAATTCCAGTTGATATTATGCCAGTACTTGTGTTACAAAGATTTCAGCTTGTGTGCAGCAGAAGGAGAACGATGAAGTCTACAGCTTGTCAGGAATGAGATATGGGCATTCATTTTATTTTTATGGCACAAAGGGACGAGAGCGTGATGATAACGTTGAATCTGCATGCAGGACAGAAACAACTGGATTATACTGGTGGCAAGATTTGAGCTTTTTGCAAGCACGGACAACATGCTAACGCAGGACTAGCAAAAAACCTAGCGTGATGAGCAGGAAGAGGATGAGCTTCAACAGAAGACAAAGCAGTGATGAGCAGTCAGCCTCTGTTTCTACCTGTTCATAGTAGAATCACTGTGATGATTGTTTTCAGGTCTCTCATACGCTCATACATATTCCATGTGTGTTCACCGTCCGTATTTGTGTCCATATGGGGATTTGTGTTGGTGTGTGGGACTGTAGTGATTCCACTTCCATCACTTATCGAATCCATTCCTTATTGATTCTCAATGGCATCACTTTGAGAGTCACCGCCATCGCCAAGCAGCTTATCAAACACATTACATTTGTGCAAATGAATTGCATGCTGGGTGATTACATTTTTTTGCATGTTGGAGGTATGTCCCCTCTTTCTTGCCATCTGGGTTGGAGTCATTACTCAAAAAAGAGTGTTCTATATTACACAGAACACTTTTCTAATCCAGCACAAGTTACATTACTTTCGTGTTTCTCCATAAAATGACCTGAAACACACTGTCTCATGATTACCATTTAACAATACAGGGAGTGCAGAATTATTAGGCAAGTTGTATTTTTGAGGAATAATTTTATTATTGAACAACAACCATGTTCTCAATGAACCCAAAAAACTCATTAATA